AAGTCTACTGAGAAAATCGTCAAAATCTATGCTGTATAAGCTTTATCTCCTATAGCACTGATTGTTAAGATACCAGTTTATGCCATATATCTCCTTTATGTACGAAACTAAACCTAATAAATTGTGTTACCGGTTTACATACCGATCACATAGCGGTGAAAATCACTTAGATTGGTGCCATATAAAGTATATCGACAGACGGACAGACGGACATGGCTAAATCAACTCAGCTCGACGTTCTGATCATATAAGTATACATTTTCATGGGTCTATCTCTTTTTGTTCTGGTACTTACAAACATCGGACCAAAGTTATGATACCATTTCATGCTCATGAAAGGTATAAAAATCGACTTAAGTGCATATACCGAAGCGCTAAAGAGCCTAAATATACTGCACAAACTGTTGTTCAAACGCCTTTTTTTCATTTCCTCTATATATGGGTCAAAGATCTATCAATAGGTTTGTATAGTAGCTTCTCCAGTAAAAGATTGCAGCGAGAGCGTAAAAGCAAATTAGAGCGTAAAATTGAGAGAAGGTAAAACTAGAAGTAAAAGTTATTGAACACAAAACTAGTAAAAACTTGCAAGGGAACAGTTGTTGCACTGTTTTGACATTCCGCTGTAAGCATTTTACTATTTATAAATCAGTTTTAAACTCTTTGCTTCACACACAAGCACTTAAATAGTCCAGTACATCATTAACATTTTGATTTCCACTCATTTTACTTTTATTTACGCTTAACCAATTCAACAAATGGCAGCTTTTGACATTCATTCTTCTTCTTCTTCTGCTAGCTAAACTCTGCTAGTAAAAATTTCACTAGAAAGAATTTGCAGCTCTCCCGTGTTATTACGCTCTCGATTCAGGGGTCTCTTGCAAATTTTTTGGGTTATTATACACTTTTCCAGTCAAAATTTGCAGGTTCTAGTACAAATTAGTACTGACTATTTGTTACTATACAGACCTAATGATTATTGAACGTGTGGCATATTTCGTGATATCAATTGCATGCATTTCGAACAAATTAGATGTGCTATCACATTAAGATAAGATTTCCAGGCTTCATCTATTGGACTTTAAACTTCTCGGCACAAAAACATGTAAATACTGACGCGATAAATATTGACCATGTAGCACTCCCGCGCGATCCATCTCTATTTTGGACTCCATCAATATGAATCACGATCCAAAAATCACAATAAATATTGAACGCATGACAGGCGCCCCACACTGTGATAAATTAACGAGTAGACTGCCCAGCTATAATTTTCTTCGATAATTGGTTTGCTATTTTTGCTGAGCGTTGTGTTGCCTGATCAACGCAACTGTTTCTAGTAGTGTTGCCACCGCTACACACAACCACAGTTCAATTTATCCTAGGAATCCAGCTTTTTTAGTCGGACTTTATACACGGTAAACTTACGAAAAGTTACCAAAATAAAAAAAGATGCCAAGTTACCAAGCACTCAAAAAGTTACCTATTTTGGTCACAAGTGACCAAATGTGGCAACCGTGATCTTGTATTCTATCATTCTTGATTTGCAATAAGTTCTTAAATGTTGTTGTCTGTAGAAATACTGTTGGTAAGCAACTTCACAGGCGTATTCTTAGGCGAAGTCGAATCTCTATAACGGCGTTTCCACGACAGCCAAATCACGTGGTTCGCTCTCTCAATTATGAACGGCGAATCAACCTGTTTACACTACACATTCGTGATTCCCTTTGCATCTCTGCTTCTTGTTCTTTGCTTTTGCTTAAAGTTTAATGTGCTGTTTATTGTACGGTGGAAAACAAATTTGCGGTGGTTAAATAGCTAAATCAATAGTTTTAACGAGTTTGTGCTGGTGGGGATGTGTGTGGTCTATATGTTTTGACAGCCGTTATCGATAAAAATTAGAGAAGACAACGATTTGTTCTTGATTCGCATGTTGATTGGATCTGAATCACCTACGAACAGTGTTGCCACTTTGGAAATTATTACCAAAGTTGGTAGAAAAAATTTGGGTTTGTAAAAAAGTAAATTTTTTCTCATTTTGGTAGATTTTTGTTAAATTATTTTGTTTGAAAAACAAATAAAAGTTTAGTTCCCGTTTTATTTGTCTTAAAGCATAAACAGACGGCAGTGTTGATCTGGATCAACTCGGGAATCAACTGCAGTTGATCCGGATTAAGTCCGCGTTAATCCAGATCAACGCTGCGACTGTTTAAGCTTTAAGTTAGCTTTATGTATATTATAAATTGTTTTCCAAAAGTGTTTTCTACGTTATTGCATTAATTTTCAAACGGATTGATGCACACTTTTTATATACATGCATCTTCTTCTTCTTATTTGGCGCTGTAACCGCCTAAGCGATT